TCTCTCTCTCTGCCTCTTTCCTGGTCATGCTTTGTTTCTCTCTTTCGCTCTCTCAAAAATAAATAAATATAAAAAAAATTTTTTTAAATAAAAAAGAAAACTATGAATAGTTGAAGCACTGGGCTGGCTCAGTTGGTAGAGCATGCAACTCTTGATCGCAGGGCTGTGAGTTCGAGCCCACTGGGTGTAGAGATTACTTAAAAATAAAATCTTTACAAGCAATTTTTTTAAATTTTAAGTAGGCTCCATGCCCAACACAGGGCCCAAACTCCTGACCCTAAGACCAAGAGTCATACACTCTATCGTTGAACCAGCCAGGCGCCACCCCCCAAATAAAATCTTTAAAAGAAAGAAAAGTATGAATAGTTTAAACCCATTTTTTTCTCAACACAATAAAGAAAAATAGTATGTGCAGTACACACAGGGAAAGGTCTAGAAGAATATACACCAGATCAGGGTGGGAGGTAAGGGAGGTAACCGCATTTCTATACTGTTTTGATTTTTTTCAATGAGTATGTATTTTGTACTGCAATTTTTTTTTTTTTTTTTTTTTTTTTAAAGGCAAGGAGCAGTAAGAAATGTACTGCCTGCTTTGGAACAGAGAATGGAGTAGAGGGAGCCATTAGAAGTCTGAAAACAGGGATCTAAGTTGAAACAGCAGCAAGTCATATTAAGAGGACAGGTATTAAGGTCAAAAGACCTAGGTCTGAGTCTGGAAAGCTTATTAAATCCTTGAGCCTGGGATTTCTCCCTGTAAAGTGAGTTGTGCATCTACCTTAAAGAGATACTGGGGCCTACTAAATGAAATCTGGTAGGCCACAGTGCTTTGCAAAATGGTAAAGTGCTTTAAGAATCAGGGTGTTATCCCTGGTTGGCGTGGTAAAGCCCTAAGCTGAAAACCAGAAAAACAAGGGCTAAAGCTACAAACTCCTAAGGAAAAAAAGAGGGATGGGAACAGATGGAATAAGAGAGATTTAAGAGACACATCAACCAATTAGAATGTGTGGACCCAATCTGTACCCCGATTCAAACAAACTATTAAATATATTTACAAGAATCAGAAAAACGTGTATGTTGATTATATATGAGATTATACTACGGAGCTATTACAACTTTTCAGATGTAATAACTGCATGATGGCTGTGAGTTTCTTTAACCACTATCCTCTAGAGCTACACATAGAAATATCTATGGATGAAATGATATGATGTCTAATTGCTTCCCAATAATTCACAAAGAGGAAAGGATGAAGAGAATGGATAGAGGGATAGATAAAACAAGCCTGACTGGGAAAGCTGGGTGAGAGCTATATGGAGATTTATGGCATTATTTTTTCTACTTTTACATCTGTTTGAAACTTAACCTAACAAAAGTTTCCATAAAAAAAAAAAAAAAAAAAAAAAAGAATGGGCCCCACCTTCCTCAGTCTAGGAGGAGGTACCAAGACCTTTCTGAAGTCTGTTGCAGCAGTAAAACTGGGCATGGCCTTGCCAAGACTGCCTCCAAGGAAGGGTGGAGAAGCCCACGCTTTACTGCATAAACGCCGTGGGTCAGCAGGTGCGGCTGCCAATACCAAGATCAGAATGCTGGCATATCTATCAAAGAAAGGCACAGTGCTTGGTGGGACCAACAGAGCTGTGCCTACAGAAAGGAAAGGAAAATCTGGCATACAATATAAATGGCAGCTAACGAGATAATTAAATATCCAATTAGAGACTGCAGCTGCTCAGGGTTATTTGTAACTGGCATGATACTGTTACCGAGATTCCATGCCAGCATTTACACTTCAAATGTAGATTAGTGAACGGATTACTACCTTCCTAGGCTCATCCTTTAATAGTGTTTTAGAAGAGTACTATTGCAAGGAAGCAACCCCCAAATCCCAACAGATCAGCTGCACTGCTCTTAATAAAGTTAAACACACAGAATTAAGCTGCCTCCGAAAGCTGACCCATTAATGTGAAAGGGAAAATGAAAAGTCCTCTAGCAAAAGCATTACCTATCTGCTTTTCGTAGCTACATTTTAACTAGTCTTTCTTTTGCTTAGGACCGCCTGATAGAGTGGGCAAGAGAGACCTTCCTCCCAGTCCTGCCCAGCTTGCTGCCAATAAAGGGAATGAGAGATGGTGTCATTTAGTCGTCTTACTTTTCGGAAACTGCCTCATAAAAGACCAAAACACCATCCATTGAACCCTATGAGAAAACAATGAATGGGATGGATCGAGTGAGATAGTTTCATGCCCTTACCCCCCAAGGGGCTCCACTCTGGTCTACTTCTCATTACCCTCTTCCTCTCCCACACTGGCTTCCTCCAACACCCGCAATAACCCACCACCTCCAGCGCCTACAGAAAGGCTTCTAGTCTTTGCTCTGCCACCAACAAGGAGACAGGGCATCTCACAACCCATTGGTGATATGAGAGGATAGATGGATGATGTTCTGAGACCCCCTCCAACATTCTGATTTCCGCATGAGCTTCTCCTTAACTGCCTGAGCGAACACACATGACACATGGGTTTTCTTGGGAGTCTCTAAGCACAAGCGGATAAAGAAATCAAAAGGAGAAGGGGAGGATCCTCAACCCCTTTTAAGACTCTGCCCAATTCAGGCCTGGCCAGAGGAGGAGGCTGGAGCTGTAAGAAAACCTAACTGCCACCACGGTATCCAATCACCCTATCCAAAGTGACAAGAACCCAGTGGGATTAGAGGAGCAGGAGGAGGGGAGAAATCAAGGTCCTGGAGCTCTCCTTGGCCTGTTCCAGGACCTCCAACGTGCGCTCGATTCTGATTTTGTTTCATGCTGCCAACATACAGCATGTGAACTGGAGTGCGGAGGCCTGGTGTACAATCTAAAACTCCAGCTTCCACGGAAGAGGGCCTGTGTCTGAGACGAGTTCAAAATAATCCTAAAAGGACCTCAAATAAAGCATCAAACCATCTGCTTACGGTAGAGCAAAAAAGGTATCCATTTGGTCATTCTGGGACCAAGTGGGTCCTTTTTGGGTGACGTCTGTGGCCATCTCTAGAGATAAATTCCAGGCTGCTTCTGCTGTCAGACAGGTTTAGCTGTGTATTCGAAGGCCACTACCTCTTTTTTAGCAAGACTTGCCTACTGGCTGCACTCTTGGGAGAAACAAACAGACCGCAGATAAGAAAGAGCAATAGTTTGTTCAGCTTGGTACTCATGCTTCTTACCCACATATTCTGAGAGGAAGACGACAAAGAACGGAGTGACCAGGTCATTAATTCCCTGGACGTACCCACTGGCAGGGTGTCGGATGGCCCAAATAAATAGAATTCTTTCGAAGATCTAGGAAAAGGAGAGAGAAGACAGGACTGTTAAATCATAGGGATACCCTCCCTCCCTCCATTTACCTATGTCACAATTTGCCCCAGGGATGCTGCCAAATTTTTAGGAAAATTCTAAAGCTACTCTGGGACAAAGGAAGTTTATAAATGCAGAAAGTTTCTAAGATGCTGGTTGTTTTTAAGCAGGGGTAGATAGACAGTTCTTGCCTTTGTTTCTCTTTTCAGTATCCAGCCACTGTGCTATAAAATGGGGAAAACGGTGGGGGGGGCCTGGGGGGCTCAGTCAGTTAAGCATCTGATTTCAGCCCAGGTCATGATCTCACGGTTTGGGGGTTCGAGTCCCATGTCGGGCTCTGTGCTGACAGCTCAGAGCCTAAAGCCTGCTACGGGTTCTGTGTCTCCCTCTCTCTCTGCCCCTCCCCCACTTGTGCACACGCGCGCTCTCTCTCTCTAAAATAAATGGATGTTAAAAAATAAAATAAAATGAGGAAAATGGGAAGGGCAGGGACACAAAGGGCTTAGGAAAAGGTCTGTTTATCGATGTCCCTGACCCAGGCCACCCCACTCTCATTTGTAGATAACGATTTCTTGATTTCCAGAAGCAAGATGGTAAAACATCTAAGTTCTGATACCTTTTTCACACCTTTTTTTATCATCATAGGATGTGGAGTAGAAACGCCTTCCCCACCACGCTCCCCTTTCTCCCCGCTGAGACGGAGGAAAACTTATACCTAGACTTACTCCTAGCCCAGCCTGACTGAGAACTGTCAACGCAGGAAGTCATTGTGTGTATCAGGATGCAACCCAGACATTTGCTGGGGAAAGGAAAGCAAATAAACCAAATCCTACAGCTGGGAATTTGAGAACAGAGAAATCAGCCTGGGCCTCCATGGGGAAGCCACCGGGGTTAAGTATATTAGCCACAAGAGACCAGAGACCTAGACTGGGGAGAAGGAAAAGATCTTTAGGGTCCCTTTTCAGAGTCTGGCCCTGCCCCATTCAGCTACACTCCCTCTGCCTTCATTAGGCTCTCAGCTATCCCCCCGTCTTCTCTGATACTATTCCTCCCTGGGCTTCATCCTGGTGGCCAAAACTACCAGTCCGACACATTCCTTACACTGGCTTTGACTGGGCTGCCTCGTGTCTCTGTGAGCCACACCAGAGGGACGGCAGAGCTGATGGTGACCACGTGTAGGGGGCACGGGAGATGAGAGGGCCTCCCCCGCACACACAGGGGCTCTGGGGGCAGACTGAAGAGGCCTTCTTAGAGGTCAGGTGCAAGGAAGAAAGCCCCCCAGGGAGAACAACGGGAAGGAAATGCTTGTATGGCTTTGGAGTTGGTAAGCTAGCGCAGGAGAGAAGTAGAGAATCTAGAGACACAATAAAGGATGTGTCCCAGCCCCCGTGTTGAGTCTGCCTTCCAGCTGCAGAGGGAAATGAGACACACGCCCATTGTCAACACTCTTGTCCTTACAGGCAGTGAGAACAAGCCCTACCAGGAAGCAAGCTGGCCTCTCTGCCTCCACTAGACTTGCCCACTTGCTCTCTGGGGCTGAGGGAAGGGTGTGACATCCTCACGTGGGTTAGGCCCAACACTTTAACGGGGGCCCTCTTACATTCTCTCCTCCCTCCCTTGAAACACAAGCCCAAGCTCAGGCTAGACCCACCATGTTCAGGAAGATCGCAAGGGGCTCCTGCCTGCCTCCTGTGGCCTGTGTCTGTCTGGACGTCTCTGTTAGTTCTGAGAGAGGAGGGGAGGGGCAGAGACAGAAAGAGAGAGAGAATCCCAGGGCTTCTGCTCCACACTGTCAGCTCCTCGTGAAAACACAGATCCTCACTGACTGGTTTCAACAGTGGCCAAGGGCATGGAGGCCAGCAGCTCACAATCAGGAGACCTGTGACCATCCCTGCTTGGTAAGGATGGGACAATGCAGGTGCTCACACACTGTACAAGTGAAGATGCCAGACACGGCCTGGCACCAGGCCTGGTTACCAGGGGAGACCGTGGAACCTTCATGACAGAAAACAATCTGGGATAATCTTGCCTTGTGGAGAAGAGTGGAAGGGATAATCCCTGAAGATTTTTCTTGCACCTCTTGTACTTGGGTAATTCTGCCTTACTGTAGTCAATTCTCAAGTTACCTTTCAGATATGCAAAGCAAGCCTTTCAGTATTCTGTGTTGCTTAGTTCTCTGCTCCTTGGTCGGCATTTTAAGTAATACTCTGTGAGAGGACTATAGCCAGCTAGAAGCAAAGATGATTCAAGACAAAATGGAAAGAATGTAGTTTGAGTTCCCTTCTTTGTATTCAGATTCTACTACTAGAAGCATGTTAAACAAACTGCGTTCCCTGTCTCCAAGTTTATGGTAAGCACGCCCAGGTAAAAGAGAAGTATCTGAACGTCTCCAAGTTAAAGCATAAGCAGGGCTGAGCCGTGGGAAACAATGGGAGGCACAAAGGGACCCTCAATGGGTCTTCCGCTTCCTTTGAGCTGAATCTTAGAGTTAAAATAATGCTGTCACCACCCCCTTCCAATCTTCTTAATGCTACTGGTAAGTCATGAGGGATCCCACCAGTGGAGATCTGCATTTAAATAGAATTATGAATATAATCTAAAGTCAAATAGAAATTATTTTGAGCATTTTTACCACCATCCCTCTCTATTCCGAGGAAAACTGAAAACAGGATTCAGAGAGGACTTACACCCAGCGTCCTAGCTACTGTGAAGCTGCTAAGGAAATCCCTAGTCTCAAGAAGGTTATAATTACTGCTTGGGTCAAAAGATAACAGTCCCACTGAGACCTTCTATGCGTTTCGTGGACTTGTCAGGTTTCACAATATCATGACTACTTCAACTTCTGGGTATATTCTCAGAAGGATTTAAAACAGGGACTCAAACAGACATAATACCCAAAGTGGAAGCAATCCAACTGTCCACAGAGGATAGAGTAGACGGACAATTTGTGTTACACACATATAACGAATATTATTCAGTTTTAAGAGGAAGGAAATTCTGACACACATTACAACATAGATGAACTCTGAAGATATTATCATGCCAAGTGAAATAAGCCAGTAACGCAAGGACCGACAATATATGGTCTTACTTGTTTGAAGTACCTGAAATATTCAAACTCATAGAGACAGAAAGTAGGATGGTGGGTTGTTGGGGATGGAGAATTATTATTATTTTTTTAATGTTTATTCATTTTGAGAGAGGAGGGGAGGGGCAGAGACAGAAGGAGAGAGAAAATCCCCAACAGGTTCCCTGATGTCAGCATGGAGCCCAACGTGGGGCTTGATCCCATGACCCTGGAATCACGATCTGAGCTGAAACCAAGAGTCAGACGCTCAACTGACTGAGCCACCAGGCGCCCCCAGAATTATTATTTAATGGATACAAAGTTTCAGTTTGGGCAGACGAAAAAAGTCATAAAGACAGGTGGTGGTCATACCACAGTGTGAATGTACTTGATGCCGCTGAACTGTGCACTTAAAAAGGGTTAAAATGGGACATTTCATGTTACACACACTTACCACAATAAAAAAAACCATCATTAGCCCAGCTTGATAAAGTAGAGCAAACACAGGACTAGGAATTCTGAGGTATGAGTTCTAGCCTTCATCCTGTTACAGTGTGGCTTTAAAGCCCCGGATAAGTCCCTTAACTTCTCAGAGTGTGACCTGGCCCATAGATTTGTCGAGGAGAACAAATGAGAATGCACAAGAAAGAGCTCTGCAGGGACCACAGCTCCGTATCCGAACAGAAGGTACCCTCATGATTAGCCACACACCTTCCCACGGCCGGAGGGAGGTCTAGGACACATACATGCAGAACAGGTGCTGTGGAGGTATGGAGCAGAGAAGGGCCGAGAATGGTTAAGTACTTCCCTTACCTCCTGTACAAGCGGCTGCTGGAACAATGGAATGAGAGGATTTGTCCTTGGAATGTCGATGTGAATCTGAAAAAGAGAAGTCATGTCTAAAAACACAAATGCCAGTTTGTTCTTTTGAGAAGTTATTTTCTTAAGATCTGCGAATCAAGGGGGTAAGAGTGACAGCACAGTATCTTCAGAAAGAACTGACGGACATACCAGAAGAGTCTAATTAAGCCCGCCTGTCCATCTGGAATACGTTTCCATGACAGCAATAGCTTACTGAAACTGAGGAAACCTCCCCAGATAAACCACTTATGTCGAACAGCAACGGGCTTCACAACCTAAAGAACCCACGGCCTAAGAGAATCGCCCTGGAGTCTGTTTCACTCTGGGCTGGTGCTTACTCAACAGAAATGATCAAAATGTGCGTCCCTCTTTCAGAGTCTTACTCATCAATAGTTCCCAAGAGCGGAGGGAGCTCTGAAAGTGGCAGACATGTGACTGGCTTGGGAACCAGAGGGAGCCAGCATTCAGTAACCGTCACTGCCAAGTCCTCACGTCTGTTACCAAAGAGGTCACGACAGCTGGTTTCAGCTTCAGGATTTCTCCGAGCCTTAACGATCGATCCCGAGGACCGTGGCGGCGACAGCAGCAGAAGCTACTTTGGCTCTTGAGGCTTCCTGAAGACAGCTGCCAGCAACCTGGGCTTTTCCCCTCGCCCCTCTTCTTCCTCCCCTCCTCTTTTGGCAGGCGGTGGGGACCACCGTGAGGGTGATGGAACACTGCCTGCCGAGCCTGCTGGTAACTACTGCTCCTGCAGACACACGGGCAGACATGGGTGCTGAAACGGCACTAGCTGCCAGGTGGACATAACTAATGTCACACAGTCTAGAGGGACTGGACCACTCCTGAGTGAGTTTCTCTTTCACTCTGTGCCCCGGGACCCTTACTACTTGCGGCCTGGGACCAGTAGTGTTGACACCACCTGGGAGTTTGTTAGAAGTGAAGGTCTCAAGCCAGACCCACTGAATCAGAATCTGCATCTTATCATAACGCTTGGGTGGGATTTTATCAAGACACTGGATGACTTGTATGCATGTGGAAGTTGGAGAAGCAATGCCACTGATCAGTGCAAAAAAAAACAGAAAAAAAACAAAAACTCTATTTAAAATGGCTAAAATCAGAGCTACTCATTAGAAACAGGGAAGCAGTTCTGGGAATAAATTTAATTCCTAACCAGCATACCATAGCCTGAAGACTCGGAAATCCTGCACTATGACAGTTCTCCCAGGAGAGACATCTGACAATTATGATTAGTAACCAAAAAGGTGATGACTGTACCTGTCGGTAGGTATCCTGGTGATGTTCCTCATTTCGAGAGTCATAATACTGCTCAATGAAGCCAAAATATTCCTCCCGCTTCCGCTGCAGGGTCAACTTCCTCCTCTCGGTGTTTGCTGGGAGATAGCCCTACAGACAGGACCGTGGTTAGATGGGGACACACGTCGGTTGCACGAGTCCTTGATTTTCATTTTAGCCTAAGGATTGGCTTGGCAACCGTCAAAGGGGCGGAAGGACAGCTGCCAAGAGCACAAGAATCCTCCCTTTTTGGGTCCGGCCGCCCAGCGTCTGCTCTCTCCTTCTTCAATGAGACTCACATGTGGGCAGACGAAGCCAGGCCAGCTTTCCCAGGGTTACGTGCACACTCCCGCAGCCCTGCACTGTAGTTGCAGTGCGTGCTGCTGGTGAGCGCCCCGGAGCTGGCTCAGCAGAGCAATGAATCTAGGTCAGTGGGAGGGAACTGGACCCGAGTGGGGGCCTCTGGAGGGCTGCGTGTGTGCAAGGCGATACTTCCGGGAATCCCAGCCCTACGGCCACCTCTACGGCACATCCCAGGGGTGTGCCTTGGAAGTCTGTGCCAGTCACACATTCTTCTCCATGCTAATATTCAGAACTGCCAGCTTAGAAAGCTGAATGGAATCTGTGACACGGGCAGCCACAACGTGCAGACACGGAACTTCTGGCAGCAGCCTCCCGCCTAGCCAAAGCTTCAGGCCAACTTTCCTTCTCCCTCCTGGTCTAGAGCCCACTCTCAATTCGTGCGGCTCCCGTTCCTGAAACCACGACCACATCTACACTTATTGGCATTCAAACTTATTAGAAGTGGCGGAGGCAGTGATTACATGGCTGCAGGATCGGGACTCGTGGGGAACACCGAGGAAAGAGTCACTTCCTCTCGCAGACATTTATGTAATACATTCCCCAGGCAGGGCCTGCAGAGCAGGGACCAGGCTTCATTCATTGTTGTGTATCCCCGCAGCTGCTGGCACCATGCCTGGCAGACAGCAGGCCCTCACTAATTCCTTGCTAGATGAATGAATGAATGAACGAACGTGACAGGCTCAGGAAGTCCGAGCGTCCCTATCACAGAGGCTGGCACAGTGCTCTGCCCTCAGTGAGAGCAGGACTGGTGCAGGCTCCCGGGGGAGGCCCATGTCTCACCTCCTTACAGTGCCAGAGTCGCTTTCCACCACTCTGGTTATTCCTACTGAGGAAAGAGTGAAGTCTGGGGAGTGTGGGAGCCTGTCCAAACAAGTGCTGAGATCCCTACCTCACTACGCTCTTTCTCCCTGGCGTTGAGCAAGGGGGGATACACCAACAGGGAAAAGCTGTGCTCTTCTATACGTGCGTGAATAACTCGCAAGGATGTGTTTATTTAGGCGCAGAAATAAGATGACAGTCCCACAGATCTGCCACACCCAGTGGGACTGGAGGAGTCTATGCAGTAAGATGAATGTGCCCACACTAACCTCAGCAGGTAAGAAGGGCTGTGTGAGGCTCACGCTTCTCTACACAGCGGGCAGAACTCACCGACAGGAGTCTCCAGGTTATGGGTCGAACCTCCCTGGGAACCCCCGGCCAGCTACACTTCCTCAGTTCATCTGCAAAGGGACAACGGCTTGATTGGATTAGCCCTTCCCACAAATGCCCTAAGACAACCCTGAGCCAGCACTGCCTGATTCCTCCCACCATTCAAGAAAGACCACCACCACCAGCAGCAGCAGCGGCTACCGACAAGCACGGGGAGAAAGCCCCAGACAACAGCCCTGAGCAGCAAAGTGGCGAAGACACGGCTCTGCAGTAGTGATGCAGTCAGCTCGGAGATCAGACTCAGGGGGGCAAAGAGAGACCCGTGGGTGTGGATTTGAGTCAGAGTTGCCTCGAGGCAGAGGAGACCAAAGCCAGAACAGCTACACTATGGTCTACGGGCCGCAGAATCCAGTCCCACCTAATTTGGTCCCTAATTTCTAGTAACATACTTCTGACTTAATACCTGCATGTCACTGCAATGGGCACCAGATCAGGAGATGCTGGAAAAGTAAAAGAAGGAAGAATAAAGAGCAATAGCTTCCAGGTCTCTGAGAATTCCAGTCACCAAGAGGTCCTACCTTGCCCGGGGCTCATGGGGACTCACCTAAGTCAGTGTTGTGGCTGGAGAGAAGCTGACGGAATTTTTCTAGGCGGGTTTTCTCCCGGACAGTCATCGGGGGCGCCCCGGAAGCATTCTGGTCCGAGATGCGGGCAACCAGGGGGATGATGGGTCGGAGAGGGAGTGACTGCTGTTTGTGGAGTGGATTCCTCAGGCATGTGTCACCTGTGATAATGAAAGAGAAAGAGAACAGGCGGCAATGTAGAGCATGGACGTGGAGGGACCCTGAGCTGGCTGTTCAGTACTGGCCCCTCCACCAGAACCGGGTCCGAGCAGCTGGCGCGCTGCCCCAAGGTGCCCGCTGAGGGCAGCCAGGGACGGAAACCGTCTGCCTGGGGGAAGGGCTGCATTTTTATCACAGGCTCCCAAGGCATCTTATGTGCTAACAGTCTCCAGAGGCCGTAGCAACTGTGACAACTTTTTTGGCAACTCTGGGTGGAAATCAGATGTTTTCTTTCTACCCCAACCTGGGATGTGTCTTCATGCCTAATATTGAACGTGGGGGCAACACGGTCTAAGGTAGTGTTTGCCTTCCCTTTCCACATCACAGAGCACGTAAGCAGTGAGTTAAATTCTGACTGTCCTTTCATAACTGTTTCATATTCTTTATCTATCTGGGCCTTAAAAAGCAGGAGTCACAGGGAACCTGAGTGGCTCAGTCGGTTAGGCATGTAAGTAGGGCACATGTAATAAAAACAGGTGGCTGCTTGCCTGAAGCCCCAGGCCCCATGCAGCTGGCCCAAGGGCTGAGACGATCAATATCCATGGCACAACCCGAAGCTGTTCTTGGCCCATCAATGTGCCCTGCACAGCAGGTGAGAGGCTCTGGCCCCAGGCAACCCTGTTTTGGGTTCCTCTGTGCTCCTACATTTCCCACCAAGGTGAGCCAGCTTTTAATTCTGCTGGGATATGACTGAAATAACAAGAACACAGACCCCAGCAGAACCACATGGCTGGTTCTTGACATTTCTAACCCAGATGATAGGAAGGAGAAACGAGCAGTATAGGACTGACATTTCCTGAGCTCCTACTATGTATAAGGCATCATGCTGGTCACATTTACATAGGATCTCTCATTTGATTCTTGCAACATATGGTAGGAATTATTACTTTACAGATGAAGAAACCACAGCTCAGAGAGGTTAAAAGTGATTTGCTAGTGAGACCTGAGATGCCACCTTAGGTCTGTCTGATTCCAAAATCCTTATTTATTTTACTACCCCAAAGTAAAGTCAGTTTTAAATTCTGACTGTCCTTCCATAACTATTTCATGTTCTTTTATCTATCTGGGCCTTAAAAAGCAGGAGTTACAAGGAACCTGAGTGGCTCAGTCAATTAAGCATCGGCTTCGGCTCAGGTCATGATCTCGAAGTTCATGTGTTCAAGCCCCACATCTGGCTCTGTGCTGTCAGCACGGATCCTGCTTCAGATCTTATCCCACTGTCTCTGCCCCTTCCCCGCTCATGTTCTCTCTTCTCTCAAAAATAAACATTAAAAAAAAAAAAATGGGCTAAATGGGTAAGGGGCATTAAGGAATCTACTCCTGAAATCATTGTTTCACTATATGCTAATTTGGATGTAAATTTTTAAAAATAAAAAATAAAATTAAAAAAAAAAAGGCAGGACTCACAACAAGAATTAAATGATGAGGGGTTCCTGGGTGGCTCAGCTGGTTAAGCATTTGGTTCGGGTCATGATCTCACAGTTTGTGAGATCAAGCCTCATGTCAGGCTCTGTGTTAACAGCATGGAGTCTGCTTGGGATTCTCTCTCCCTCTCTCTCTGCCCCTCCCCTGCTGGCATGCATGCTCTCTCTCTCTCTCTCTCTCTCTCTCTCTCTCAAAATAAATAAACATTTTTCAAAAAATAAAGAAAGACAGGGCACCTGGGTGGCTCAGTTGGTTAAGTGTCCAATGTCGGCTCAGGTCATGATCTCGTGGTTTGTGAGTTCAAGCCCCGCGTTGGGCTCTGTGCTGACAGCTCAGAGCCTGGAGCCTGCTTTGGATTCTGTGTCTCCCTCTCTCTCTGCCCCTCCCCTGTTCATGCTCTGTCTCTCTCTCAAAAATAAATGAACTTAAAAAA